ATGCTGAATTCATTTTAATTAAAATTAAAATAGATTATCTTAATAAAATTTTAAGTAATTTTACTTTATTTAATTGTCCAAGATTGCCAAGATTGTCCAAAGTATTGTCCAAAGCTGTCCCATGACAACACTGTCCGAATATGCCTGATTTTCCAGTAAAAAATCCTAACAATTAGATCTGATTATATGTCGCACTATGATAGTAGATCATTTGGTATCTAACACCCCAATATTTAATATAAGCAAACTCATTGATCACAAAGAACAAAATATTTTTAAAAAAATTATATCCAGAATATAGCAGATAGCAACATTATTTATTATCTGTTCAAAACCCATATATACAAAACTTTATAACATATCACTTATCTCCCATTAAAGCAAAATTGTTTTTACTATTGTGTAAATAAGAAAGCTATACATTGAGAGTTCTTGTCAGTCTAAAAAGAATTCAGAATAAACTGGACTTTAATAATAAACATGTCTTTCTAAAAATATTAAAAGTTCAATACATAAAATTGCACGAGATTCAATCCACAGAAAACTTACTATTCTTTGTTAATACTCAAACGGGCAGGCTTTTCAAATTTCTATTTCATGTTTGACCAGTAACAGTAATAATAAAATATGCATTGTAATAATATCCAATAACACCGAATTCAAAAGCTTATTGACTTCGAATGAATTACTGTAGCGACCAATTTTTATTAGTTCTAGAATTTATGAGAACAACTGTAGTGATTATGAGTCGTAAAACTCCATGACTTCATATAGAAACAAAGAATAACACTTATTCTCGCTGTTGCGGGAATAAATAGTATTCATTTAGTCTGTGAGTATAAAAAGATAATTTATTAATCAGTACTTATTCACAAAATATTTATTCGCCATTGTTTCAATCACTTTAATTTTAGTGGGTAAGCATAAAGATGATTTATGTGACGGTGTCTAACATGTGATCCTGACACAATATTCAAGGATAGACAAGTAGAAACGAGAATATTGATGATTACGTCTGAGAATTTCAGCTTAGAATCATTAAATACGGGAATGTAATTGATCGGATTTTTCAATAGATTATCTAATGTTAAAGAAATTGACAAAGGAGGATTTGGCTATACGAAAAGTTGTGTAAAGCGCGTGAACCATCCCATACAAATTATGATCTTTTTGCATTATGTCTAATCGCGAAACTTGGCAGCAAAATTTTCTAGGTAGCAGGCAGTAACGCTATACGACACCACTACATCATTCATGGCAACTACCTCACGGCAATATAACCTTTGAAAATATCTGCATCATTACTATTTAACCAAATAATGCTAGTTTCAAAAATTTTGATCATCCAGCCTAAAATTTGAGGATTTTCCTTAATTACAATCTGCTTACCTATGATATTTCTTAAATTTTTAGTATGTCCACTTTCGAAATTATATTGATTCTATGAATTGTTTATAATAAAGATAACTTGATTCGTCGTAAGTGAATAACACTGGGATTTTGCTAACAAAATGACCCTTCGGGACTATGATTTTGTCAGCAAAGATCCCATATATGACGACGATAGGGATAGATAAAATGATGAATGAACGATATTATATGTAATATATCGTAGTATGAGATAATATAAGATAGTTTATGCAAAAACATTGTATTGACCATTTGGATCATTGTTATTGACCCACAATAAAATAGTACACCGTTATTGACCCATTAAAAAAAAAATTCTGATCCGTCGTTATTGAAATTCGTATGACGTTCGTTATTAATAACGCAACCATGAATTTTTAATACATTCATTCACTCATTGAACCTTCTTTAACCGAAAATGAAGCAAAATTTGAAAATTTGAAATTGATGTTGATGTGAGTTGAAAGAGCCAAAGAAGCTCCTGTAGTTAACGTTACCAGTGCATAAGTATCATTATTAAATCCATTATAACCTTCAGTTCAGAAACGAAAAACTGCAACAATTACTGTAGGAGCTGCGAACTAATTCTACTGTATAAAAAGGGTAAATCTAAATAATAATATAATAATTTTGAATAAATTAACTATAAATGGGTAAAAACAGAGTAAAGAAATCATCTACAACTAAAGCTACTACACCGATTTGTATTTGAAAATCTTTTTTTCTGAAAACAAACTGGTTGAAAAGACAAAAGTTGTAAAAGATTGTTTCGAAAAAAAAATTTACTTAGATAATAATGAAGGTCGAATATGAAATAGTTCACATAGTCAATGGAAAAAAAATAATAATAATAAGACGAAAAAACGACTAACTTGTAAAATAAATGTTTTAACTCTCTTTGAAGTATTAATCGAAAGGCTCATATGACGTGTGACATTGTACAACAATATTATGTCGCGATGCGACAAAATTTTTTAAAACAGTCAATAACAATGTACCGGTACTGATTTTTTGTGGGTTAATAACGATGGTTCAAATGGGTCAATATCAATGCTTTTGCATAGTTGATTGGAAAGAAAAACAAAATGATCAAAAAAAAAAAAGTAAGAAGTCAGCACATTTAGTTAAGATTGAAATAATAAAAGTTTAACGTGTGAACCTGAAATGAATCCGGAATGTATAGAAATCATTTGAATACTGCCAAAGGAAAATGAGACATCGGGCTTCGAAGGATGCGCGTTATGTATTTGAAACCGTTTATGCTGTACGATTTTCTAAATAACGCCCATGCTCGTTATTTTATTCGTCAAAATCATTAAAAACTTGTCTCGAAATAAAAGAATAATGATATTTTAGGTTAGAAAAAAAATAAGATATATGGCTTTAAATACTTTAAAAATAGATACAATTATTTAGTTGTATATATAAAGCTTTGTTACTAATTAAGTTTTTTTAAGATCAGAAATCAAATTATCGTAAAACTCGAAAAATAAGAAAACTACAACTTTTTTTCAATCTCAGATTATTGCGGTTTGCATAATTTTGTGAACCCTATGATATTTTTTTTATGATTAAATGATTGCGATTACTAAAGCCAGCCAATTTATCATGAATCTGTGTTTGCGTTAAGCTCAGATTTATGATAAATTGGCTGGCTTTATCACAATCATTTAATCATAAAAAAAAATTAATCATAGGGGTCACAAAATTATGCAAACCACAATAACAGGAATAATTTGAATAAAGATTTTATTGCTATTTCCACTAATCTGAAATTAAAAAAAGTAAGGTAGAGGGTGTACCGTATAAGCGGAAATAACATCCACCCAAGAGTGTAATTACGAAATTTGGCCTAAATTAAGCTTAATTCCGGCCACTATTCAAAATAACATCCATGTGAGTTATTTCACGCTTATATGGTAGTGCTTTTTTTCTGAGTTTTACAGTAAGTTGATTCTGAATCTATGATACCTGTAACATGTACATAGTTTGATAGATCTAATCAGAAAGTTACTTTTTAATTTCAAAAGCAATATATGTTTTAAAAGCATATTTGCTGCAACTAATCGTTTTATTGGTTAGCCGAATGACTTAATAATCATATATGTAATTATGGGTTTACTAATTTTCCCCACCACTTCACTATCGGAGTAATAAAATTAATTATTCCATGTTTCTATATGATTGCATGACGGGGTTTACAACTTATAATCACTACTTTAATCAGTAAAGAAATCGAGTTTCTAGAAATGTTATTTCCCCGGCAACGCTTGTTATTTCCCCGACTTCCGGGGAAATAACAAGCGTTACCGAGGAAATAACAAACATTGCTAGAAACTCGATTTTTTTTTATTGATCAAAGTAGTGATTATGAGTCGTAAAGCCGTCATGACATCATATAAAAACGAAGAATAATACCCTTATTTCGCCGCCACGGGGAAATAACCCGGTAGATTTCCACCCCGTTGTGGGCCCTTCGGGCCCCCAGATGACCGAGGATGTACCTCTTATTCCCGCCGTTGTGGGAAATAAATAGTATTTAACAACTGTTTATAAAGTCTGACCTGGATCGGTCTCAAGACCGGTGACGGGATAATCGTAGACCGAATAAAATATTGATCCTTATTCGGTCTTTCCAGAACTGATCCTTGTACCATAGATGTATATTAAGAAATAAAGTTTACTCTCTCTAAGAACACGTTCTCTTGATACAATGTTGAATAAAGTTCGCATAACGATAACGATAGGTGATCTTCCGATTTGATTATTTATCGTAATCACCTGATCACTTTCAGATAAAATGCGCTAGATTCGACGATCATCGATCTTTCAAATTTCATTCGAATCGTTAATAATGAAAGCTAAGTGGGCAAAAATTCCCTGCTTTTACATTATTAAAGCTTCAAGGAAATCAATTGGAATGACCGGGGCCACCACCGAATTTGAGGTAACCAAAAAAAAAAGTATTGTATTTATCCTTGCTTTAATTTCTTTAAAAATAAAAAATTTTTATATTTTTGATTATTCTATTACAACTCAATATAGAACGAGGTCAAAAAACTTAATGATTACATCAGAATCCCAGGTTACAGACGCTCTTTACCTTCTAGAAGGTGGGATCCAATACTGGCAATTACAGGGTTTCATCATTATCTCGATGCAAAAAGATTTCAAATTCACGTTGATAATTCATTCAGAGTGGATAATATTTCTAAAGATTTTTATAAAGTTAAACATCTTAAAGAAAATTTATTAATAAGACCCTGTATATTAAAAAGAATTATTTGTGCGAGAAATGTATTTAGGAGATTTTTCACTGAAAACCTTCCAAAAGAAAATCCAAAAATTTTTAAACAATGGAAATTACACTGGTCGAAAGAATTAAATCAAGATATGGTTAAAGAGTTGGCTTTTGGTTGGGACATTGAAGATTTTAAAAATGATATAGTGCTAAGTGGTGACAATAATATCATAGATAGACCTAAAAAGAATTATTCCATTGAACATATTAAATTAGAATTTGATGATTTTTTACCTTGGAGGGAAATTTTAGATGAATGGAGAATATTGAAAGAAGAAAGAAAAACTTTGGGACTAGATGACAAGGATAAATGTCAACCAAGTACAATTGATCAAAAAAAAGTTGAACAAAAAATTACGAATCAAGAAAAAAATCATTGGTTTAAAGTTGTTGATGATTATGATGATGAGGATGATTAATACATTTTAAAATTATAGAATAAAAAGTAAGGCTTCGCTATGCTATTAATCAGCTCTATTAAAATAATTTATTTACCGCTTTTACTAATACAAATAAATAACAATAATAATTTAGATATCCTTTAAATATGTTTAATAAAAACATTAAATTGACTATGTTAATTATTACGAAACTGAATAAGCTGAATATTGTAAAATTTTATTATTATCATAAACTTCTTCAGGAATATTAATAGCTAATCTATAATAATCTACTTTTTTATCAATATGTGAAGAATGTTTTTCTAATTTCCAATCTAAATCATCTCCAAATTTAAGTTTTAATCGTTTTCCAATTTCTGCGCCAAATCTATCCAAAAGTTCATACCCAACACAAGATGCAAAAGGTCTGAGATATTTAACAAATGGTGATACTTTTTCATGCTCATTCCAATAAAATTCTTGATTTTCTCGTACTATTCGATGAAATGTAAATGGCATAGTGGTCTCAAAATATTGCATTGCTTCAAAAATAGATTTCTGAAATGATTGAATAAATTCATCAAGTTTCGAGGCAGCTGCCTTTTGAGCTTGTTGTGATAATAGTGGGGGTTCAGGTTGAGATATCGGTAATGGAATTGGAAGTTGAAAATAATCGATTTCTGAAAATATTTCTTCACGAGAAATTGTAAGATTAGGGATTGTTGGCGTGGCGTCATTGGATGAGGTGTTAGTCAAGTGAGTATCATGCCAACAGATTTTTCCCGTGCGATAAAATTGTAGAATATATCGGAATATTTGTCCATCTCTATCAATAAAATGCTCTCCATTAACTGGACACAACAGCTTTTTATTTCTATCGGCAAACATTGTTCCAAGAAGTGTTGTCGGATAAGCAATCAGAGTAGAACGATAAGTTTCATACTAGTATTTTAAAAAAGCTTAAATAAATTTTTAATTTTAATGTACTGTCAAGTAGTTTAATTTAATTTACCTTCACACCGCCAACGTTCAAAATAATTCTTTCTTGAGATGCTGCGGAGCCTGTTGTATCTGACATCCTGAATAAGAATAAAAAATTGATATAGTCCGCATGTATGTCTTATAAAGTTATGTACCGGGATCACGTAATCAGGCATTTCGGCGGCGTAGGCGATTCTATAAATAGTATAGAAACATTTGATTTAGGGTGCTCTCAAGCGCCTTATTCGATTGGTCGGAATAGGTCGGGAGCAAATTTTAATTAGTTTTCCGAATCAATTGTATATAATAGGATGATGTAGAGCTGCAGTAGTTTAATACGTCATAGAAAAAAAATTTAATTATCGGAAGACCGTTTAACCGATCAAAAGTACTTATCATTCCAATTGATGAAAAATCCTTTTTTTTCACAATTTGTGCTGATTTGCTAAAATTTTTTATTGATGGATTACAAAAAATAACCGTTCAAACACTTTACCCTTTTACCAATATGGATCTTCAAAATTGTAATCAGCGCTTATGTTAAAAAACCTTCGCTACGAATAAAAACTGAAATTTCACGAATGGCCATACTTATCATTAGTGTTCCGCAAAATGGATCCGAAGATCCGGATCCGGATCCACGATTTTTAAGATTCGTCGAATTCGGATCTACAGAGATCCGATCCGTCATATATAAAAGCGTCAGATCAGAGCTGGATCCGAGGATCCGTCTATTTAAACACGAATCCAGATCCATACTTGGGAATTTTCGGATCGAATCCGGATCCTTGAAAATATCCGTCAGATCCGATCTTTGCGGAACACTACTTATCATATTCTAGTCTTTATCAGTTATATGGCACTAAATACAACCATTCCATTCATTGTTCCTTCACAAGATGTAGTGTGGCTCAACATTAGCCAAAGCTAAAAGCGAACCCTAAAAATATTACATCAATAATTAAAAATTTTCACATTCAATATTTGTTTATTTATAGGTTATGTCAGCTAGTTTTATTGTAGCAACATATGAAAGTTGGTGAATTCTGAAGTTTTTTTTTTTAATGGTTTTTTTTAAAAGCAATAATTTTTTTAATGGTAACGATAAGATAGTAATAATAAAAGTATTTTGCACAACCATCAATCGAAATCAATATTTCAATTATTGCAACGCTTGAACGTAAGCACAATCACAAGTTAACTACATTGAGGAAGATACGTGAGAATATTCCTATTGATCTTTAACAAAGGTCTAATTAAATTTTACCAGAATGGATGAGCACCATTACGATCACTAACTAATTGAGTATGCTACTTTAGAACACCCTTAATATAAAAATAATTTCTAAGTAACTACCTAATTATCCAAGAATTTCTGACCGTCATGCTCGTGTTTTATGTTCATTACAGTTGTTCTCAAATTCTGGGACAACTGATAAAAAATTGACCGATAATTATTCTGCTGAACTCGATAAGTTTTTGATTTTGGCATTAATACAATGTACATTTTATTATTACCGTTACTATGCTTACTGACAAGAATAGTCTTTGTTCCGCATAAACTACGTAGTAAATGTATTAGACAATTAGACAAGCATCAGATTCTATGTATAAGGGCACTCATGTTTTTGATGATATCTCGCGATGCACTGATCGGAATCGAAAAATTTCGTATCATTCAATTCGTCTTACTAAGACGAAACAAATAATATAAAATTTTTTTTTGATTTTAATTACTAAACCACAAGATATAAGTAAAAGTCGACATTACTTATGACAGTATTAAGTTTCTTTTAATTTTTATAATATTTCCTCATTTGGGTAATGTCCGGAGGAAGGATGCAATAATACAATACGAAACACATAATGAACATAGTGCGCTATAATACCCCAAATGAAAAAAACATAGCATTTTTTGAGTAGATTTTGAAAGCTCATATTTCAATATTTTTTTTTAAAGTTATTTTTTTTTTATTGGCAAATAGTTAATTAGCTGAGTAATCTATTTCGAGAGCCCTAATTTCCCCCCATAGTTCTGATTGGACGCATGAAATCCATCTCTAATTGGACAAACCCGATCATGTTACCCCAAAGAAAAAATTCAAAAAAAAAAAATAAAATAAAAAAATAAATAAAATTTTTTTAATAGCAGATATTAAAATCTTTATTTTTAATACGTA